TGGCAGCGGTGGTGATGTGGTGGAGATGTTCCTGACGGGGTGAGGTGGCAGTGGTGGCTGATCTAGGCGAATTTGGTGTTTATGTGGAGGCGGTGGTCGCAGTGGGATGGATTGAACTGTTGTGACCAATTATCTACGTGATTGCTATTAATAATTGGATATGTGATCTGATAATTGTGACTGCGACCTCTGATTGTGACTCACAATTGATTGAGTTGTGATCGAAAAGTTAATCGTGATTTGAAAATTGTGATTGTGACTCACTTTTGATTAAATTGTGATTGAAAAATATAATCGTGACCAATTAATTCAATAATTTACAATGAGTAAATAAGTTGTAATCAATAAAAGTTTTGAATATGTGATCGACAAATAATCTGTGACCTATAAAATTTTTGGATTCGTGACCAAAAAATATTCTGTAACCTATAAAATTTTCGATCTGTGACGGAGTAAATAAGTTACGACCAATAATTTGATAAGATGTGACTAAAAATTAATTTGTGACTAATTAATTAAATAACTGTGACAAAAAATTCGTGACCGAAAAATATTCTATGACCTATAAAAATTTCGATCTGTGATCGAAAAATAAGTTACGACCAATAATTTTATAAGTTGTGACTAAAAATTAATCTGTGACTCATTAATTAGATAACTGTGACCTAAATATATTAAATTAATTAAATAATTAAATTATAAATAAATTTTAATAAAAATCTGATTTTTGAATTTTGAAACTTGTTTTCTTAATTCTGAAATCTACCATACTTAATCTCACTTATGAAAATTTCCCTTTTTTTTTTTTATTAACAATTAATTTGCAAGTTGAATTGACTCACTAGTGGACGCAAATGTAAGTCCATTTTCCTGCATTTTGAATTACTTGCCTAAGATAATGAATTTTCACGTTGATTTTAAGCCCTTGATTGAGCCCCTTTTTTTGTAAAAAAAAAAATGAATTTTTGAATAGTGTTTTGACCTTATTTTAATAACACATTTTTTAATGAAATAATATTACACGCAAATTTAAATTTTTTTTTTATTTTTTAACCACATATTTTTCATCAATACACCATTCAAAAATTTAATTTTCTTGATAAAAATGGGGCTCAAACATGGGGTAAATGTATTGCCTGTCTTTTTTGTATTTTTAAACTTCACCTTTAGATGGATTAAAAATGTCACGTGCATGTATTATCGAATAAAATTCAAACATGGGCTAAATGTATTGCCGTCTTTCTTGTGTTTTTGAACTTCACTTTTAGATGGATTAAAAATGTCACGTGCATGTATTATCTAATAAAATTCAAACATAGGCTAAATGTATTGCCTGTCTTTCTTGTATTTTTGAACTTCACTTTTAGATGGATTAAAAATGTCACGTGCATGTATAGTGTACTTTTCTGGTGTTTAAAATTAGAATAATGTTATTTTGCAGTCGCTCACCACTGTAATCGCCCTACGTAGCATATATGTAATGATTATTAATTTGATACATTAATATGATTGATAGTATTTTTTATTTTATCATGTATCAAATCATTAATTGCCATATTAATGCTATAAATGACGACTGCGATAGTGAGAGACTGCAAAGAACATTATTTCTAAAATTATTGTCGATTCTATTCCATATAACTCAACTCTCAATATGTTATATACCAGTGTTGAAAGTGATCAAATAACCATTTTAATTCTAGTTATTTGAACCTATTTAAAACACCAAAAATACAATATGCCAATTCTCGGTATGTATCTCCGTGTTAAGAATCTTTCTCAATAAGGTTCAAAATCTTACGAGTGTCAAATAATGAGAAAATTGATCGCAACTAATATTCTAGTCGTATGCCAAAATCGTTTTTAGTATTAGAAGATAAATTTCATACTCGATATAAAAGATGGCTAGATAATATAATGAACATTATTTAATTTTCTTAATACATTCGATGCTATTTAACTTTTTTGTTGAAAATGTATAAAAAAAAGTGTTGACACTTATCAAACTCCTTTTTTGGTATTAGAAGGAAAAATCAAAGAAGTCGAAATGGGTCAACAAAGCAGCCATTCTATTTTTCATAAAAATTCCAGCGACTGCAATTAGGCAAGACACTGGAAGATAAAATGCAATTTGGATTCTTATTAAGGAAAAAATTGTAGATGGGGTCCCCAGCTTATTGGAAATATAATAGCTAGATCCCAACCTATAGGAATGACAACAGAATGAACCCGAGTAGAAGTTCGAGACAGGTATCATGTTCATCAATCCATATTGATTCCCCGATAGGACGAGAAGATACTAAAACGAGATATTTTATCATTTTTATCTACATAATATTTTGACATCATCAACAACCTTCCATTTAGATGATATTTGAAGAGCGGGTTGCATTGGGCCTTCACTTGAAGCTTGGTTTTGCGCATTGGTCGGTGAGCAAAGCTAGTTGGTGGATCAAGGGGTTCAATCGATTTTATTTATTTATTGGGGAAAGAAATGTATTTTTCAATAAAGAAATAAAAATATATATAACAAAACTACTAAAATCCAGTTCGACCCAACCTAGTACATAATGAGCCTAACTTTACACATGCTGAGCTTTTGTGGTCAGCTCACCAAGCACCCAAACTTGTTATTGCACCTATATTGTACTTGCCGGTTGATGATTTTAATCTCGTGATTGATAAAAATGAAAATTTTCACTGAAGTTACAATTTTACCATTATATTTAATTAAAACAAATAAAATAAAGAGAAAAAAAAAAACTAAAGATAGGCGTTTGTGATTATTGTATTTTGTTTTATAAAATATTTTTTCATTTACTTATAGATCTTAGATAAGGATATAATTGTCTTTCCAATAAATATTATAGTTTTTCAATCGAAGATAAGGATGGAGTTCTTCAGGACTCGAGTGCTACAAAGATGAAATATTGGGGACTGCACGGGCCAAAATAATAGGTCTACCTTCCATGCTACATGTCCAGAAATTCCTATTAGCACTAGGTCCGAATTTGACCATATTGACCAATTGCATATGCAATTTTCCAATTTGTTTCATCCCCATTTTTTTCAATAAAATAATATTACTAGTAAATTAAAAAATTTTTCTTCTTTTTTTTAACTACAAAATTTCTATAAATCTACTTTTTTAAAAGAAATATGCTACTTATACATAATACAATGTTCATTCCCTTCACATTAAGGAGGACTCATTTCAGAGAGTGGACACCGAAATGTACGTATATCATTACCCATTTTAAAATATATTCTTAGTAAAAAAAATAAATATCCTTATGTACGTAAAGGATCACTCATTTTAAAATACGCTCATACTTGGTATTGATTTAAATTAGATTTTAATTTAAATTAAAGTCAAACAATCAATATTAATATATCTTTCGTGGATCCCACAACTTTTCAACTTCATATTTCAATTTTTTTTATCAAAATTTACTAAAAATCTAATTTTAATCACTATCAAACAGAGGCACATTCTAGTAAAAGAAAAAAAGAAAAATAGAGGGTTCAAAGAGGTCTTAGAGAGTGTTTGACACCAATTTTTATGAAAAATGAATTTTAGAAAAGTAGATTGATAGAGAATGTGTGAATGAAAAATAAGAAAATTTTTCTGATTTATGTGTAATATTATTTTAATGAAAAATGTGTGATTAAAAAAAATACATTTTGAAAAAAATGGAAATCAAACGAAGCTTCAATAATAAACTAATTGTTAATTCTGATTCTTATTCCAAATTTATAAACCAAACAAGGGTAATTGGCACAAAACGTCCTTACCTTTCAAGTCTATTGTGGAAAACGTCCCTACCTTTCATTTTTTGGCATTTTTGCCCTCATTTCAATCTTTCTTTGCGCTGGACGTCCTTCCGTCCATATTCCGCCAGTTTTTCCGTTAATTAAAGGGTAATTGGCACAAAACGTCCCTACCTTTCAAGTCTATTGTGGAAAACGTCCCTACCTTTCATTTTTTGGCATTTATGCCCTCATTTCAACCTTTCTTTGCGCTGGACGTCCTTCCGTCAGTTTTTCCGTTAATTAAATACAAAAATACCTTTTTCTTTCCATAAATAAGGGTAAAATTGTCCTCACCCACTTCACCCCTTTTTCCCGCCATCAACTTAGTTCATAAGTAACAGTAGCAGCAAGATGAATTTGAAAATACTTTAAATGATTAAGTTAAATAAAAAAAAAAATATTTTGAACACATTATATATCACAATTCCACAACTTCTGTTGCTGTCATCTTGTGTCACTGGAAAATTTTAGAAAGACATATTAAATGGGTAGTCAATTTATAAAGAGCCAAAATGGTGAACGGCTCTTTTTGGCTCAATGGAGAAGATGAATGGCTCATTTTAAATTGACTCATTATAAATTGACTACCCATTTAATATGTCTTTCTAAATTTTTCCAGTGACACAAGATGACAGCAACAGTAGTTGTGGAATTGTGAAATATAATGTGTTCACGATATTTTTTCTTTATTTAACTTAATCATTTAAAGTATTTTCAGATTCATGTTGCTGCTACTGTTACTTATGGACTAAGTTGATGGCGGGAAAAAGGGGTGAAGTTGGTGAGGACAATTTTATCCTTGTTTATGGAAAGAAAGAGATATTTTTGTATTTAATTAACGGAAAAACTGACGGAATATGGACGGAAGGACGTCCAGCGCAAAGAAAGGTTGAAATGAGGGCAAAAATGCCAAAACATGAAAGGTAGAGACGTTTTCCACAATAGATTTGAAAGGTAGGGACGTTTTGTGCCAATTACCCGAATGTTTAACGGAAAAACTGACGGAATATGGACGGAAGGACGTCCAGCGCAAAGAAAGGTTGATATGAGGGCAAAAATGCCAAAAAATAAAAGGTAGTGACGTTTTGTGTCAATTACCCAACCAAACAAACATAACTCACTGTACATTCACACTATCCAACTATTTTCTTCGCTTTTTTTTTGTTTTGTTTTGTTTTTTATGTCTTTTTTTCAATTCCATAAAGCTTCAGTAGCACAATGAAGAATTTTTAGCTTTCTTTAATATCTCTGATAGTTGGGTTGTTCATATCAATTCCATTACAAGACTCAGAGAGAGAGAGAGAGAGAGAGGGGGGGGGTTTCAGTTTGTGGCCATCCAGAAATGGAGCTGAAGAAAGAGAAGCTTGTGAGGTATGTCCTTTTTTTTTTTTTTTTTTTAAGGTTCTTATTATTTTGTTAATTCTATCTTTCTAAGAAGAGATATCAGTAGGAAGAAAGAAAATGTATAGTTGAAGAAAAATTACATTTTTAGACAAAAACAGTGGAGTTTGGTTTAGTGGAGCTTAAAAGGTTAAATCTTTTGCTTCCTTAACTTGAATGTTCTTGTTTATTTAAGAAAATGTAGTAAAAGCACAAGGAAAATACTGAATCTTGGAAATTTTCGCTTTATGATGAGATTAAATCTTAAACCCCTGACTCCAGTACATTGAACACGCTGAAGCTACAACTTAGTAGATCTGAAGTTCTGTATTTGGGGGTTTAGGGCGATTTAATAAAGGGATTCTAATTTCTGCTGTTCTGGGGCTAATTAATTGCTCAGGTTTTATTCTGAAGGAAAACAGGGAAAGGGTTTTACATTATGGCGAGGAAAAGATGGCTCTTCTTCTCTAGAGGAATCATCTTCAGCGTACCAGCTTCCATCCATGTTGAATTCTGATAGGAAATGTAAAATCACCGATACCCTTAAGTTTGGGCGATCCAAGGTCTTCCCTGAGGACCATGAGCAGCGCCACATGCGAATACTTGATCCTGGTAGTGAAATTGTGCTGAAATGGAACAAGGTTTTCATTGTTTCTTGCTTGGTGGCACTCTTTGTCGACCCATTGTATTTTTACTTGCCTAGTATAGGAGGGGTTAATGATTCTTGGTGCGTGAAATCAGATGTGAGTTTGCGGATTGTCGTGACATTTCTCCGTACAATTGCCGATCTTTTCTATCTGTTGCATGTGGTGATTAAGTTCAGGACGGCTTATGTGGCTCCCAGTTCACGGGTGTTTGGAAGGGGTGAGCTTGTCAGGGATCCTAAGAAGATTGCCCGGAGATATATAAGATCTGACTTCTTCATTGATCTTATTGCCATACTGCCTCTGCCTCAGGTACTTGCTGCTGCAGTTAATCTGCCTTTCTGGATTCTAGATCTCTACCTAATTATGTGTTTTATACCTTATAAGCACAAGTCTGGAGATATTTGTGCTTTATTTTGATATTTGAAAATAATTTAAAATATAAGAATTGGCTTCTTTGCTTTACAGATCCCAATACCTAAATACCATGAACGCGTCTCTTTCCTTGTGAAAAAAATAGTATAATATATGTAGTGTTCCCACATATTATTGCTAATTTAATAACATAGCACATGTATGTGTAATTCATCTCCCATTAAGTTAACCCATGAAATTCCTTGTCAAAAGTTTCATGTCTGCAAATTGTGCCTTAAAAAAATGAGAAAAATAGTAAGTAAAAGATTTTTCTAGTTTACCTGAATATCAGATTTTGAGTCTCTGCATATAAGTATGTTTCTTGAATAACAGCAAGTAGTTGCTGAAGACAGCTTTGTGGCCTTTGAAGTGCCAATAATACATCAAGGTTGTAGACTTCCAAGTTTATGTTAATATTATATAAAGATGAGTTTGAAGAGTGTTAACTGTCAAATTTAAAAGCTTAAGCTATTAGAGAGCGGCCGCATTTGTTTATTTAAATCGTGCATTAGACATGTTCCCTCAAGTCCAGAACAAATTTGTTTTTTATTGAAGATATGCACATCCTCAATTTTCATAGGTGAAAGCGGAACTTATTCTTTTATGCGGCCGGGTTTTGATACCATGCGAGCCATCTTGTTTAAAAACATAGCTATTAGAAAAAAGGTTACCTGTATTTATTTAAATCTTGTCTTCAACAAATGGTTCTAGAATAAATCTTGTTCTAATATAAAGATAAGATGTGGTTGGCTACACGAATAATTTTTCTCCTCTCCATTCAGTTCATTGCTAAATGTACTTGAAGATCTAAAATAACTACATCATTAGCTTACATCGTGCCATACTATAATTGGTCTACCCCCCCTCTTCTAACTTGTTTTACCATGATTATGTTACTATCATGTATTTTCATTACGTCTATGCAAAACATGGCGTTATACCCAATTCAGTGCACAAGAGTTCTACGGAAAGAATGAGATCGCTTGCTTAGGGCCAAATATTTGAAATATTAAATCTTTGCTTTGGGGATATTCTTCAGTACTCGATCTTGGAGAAGGTGACTCCTTCAAGAATGTAATTCCAAGGAGATATTCAAAGGAAGAGTTGCAACTTATATTTGGATCTTAATTTACACCTACTCTATGGTTCTTTAGGATGACCATATCGTTGATATCTAAGCAGATTATGATAATTCTTTTTATACAAATTTTATGTCCCTGCTAGCCTTAGCCCCTGTTTGGTATTCATTTTACGCCCCGTTTGATAGTAATTTTTTTCAAAATGCATTTTTTTTTTTTTTCAACCACACATTCTTTATTAAAATAATATTACACGTAAATCAAAAACTTTTCCTTATTTCTCAACCACGCATTTCACATCAATTTACTATTTTAAAATGTATTTTTACATAAAAATATCTATTAAACACCTCTTAATGTGTTTTAGGGGGAAAATGTATTTTGGAATAGTGATTTTTTTTTTTAATTTTAATTTTAATTTTTTAAGAATATGTGGTTAAAAAAGAAAGAAAAGTTTTGAATTTACGTGTAATATTATTTTATTAGAGAATGTATGGTTAAAAAGAGGAGAGTGAAAAATGTATTGAAATTATAATGGAGTCCAAGAGGGGCTTAATATTTTATTGAGTTGTGGTGAGCCGTATTACTGATATATAAAACACAATCTTCAGGTTTGTATTGATGTTTTTTGGGCTTATTTTATCAAATTCATTACTGTTAAATAAAAATTATGACAGAAGGTATATCCACCGACCCTGAATCTCTGATGCTTTCAGAGTAATTCACCGCCAGTCGTTGCCAGCTTTTACTCCATCCCCTGGATGGCTTAATTTGCTGGTTAATTTTCCTTCAATATTTGACGCAGTGTGTTGCATCAGACATTACTTGTAATCTGTGTGTATTATTAGTGACTTCCTATCGAGGGAAGGAGAGTTCCTGATAACAGTTTTCTGCTGGCAGTTGTGTTGCATGCTTAGTTGTTTAACAGCCTAATTTTATCTTCCCTGTCTCATTCCTTTGTTTACAAAATAACTAACAAAAGGTAGTCTTACTTGAAAGCCATTAAGTAGCTAAGGATAACAAACTGCACTTTGTGCGCTCTAAGAAATGAAAATCTCATGCTAATTTCCAAAACTGTCTAATAAGAGAAGCAAACAATCTCCTTTAATGTTTGTTCAGCATTTAGAAACACTGTAGACCTTGGCAATCTGTTGATATCTATACTTGTTCAACATCAAAAAAATTATTATACTTGATTTTTAATACTTTTTTTTTTTTTTGGTTTGTGTACTTGAAGGTGACATCTTATTTTATGTTATAATGGTTTTCTATTTTATAAAGTTTGAGCATTGATTACATAATTTGCAGATTGTCATTTGGTTCATTATACCAGCAACGAGAAGCCGACGAGCTAATCATAATAACAATGCTCTTGCGTTGATTGTCCTACTACAATATGTTCCTAGGTTATATCTCATTTTCCCGTTAAGTTCAGAAATTATTAAAGCGACTGGAGTTGTCACCAAAACTGCTTGGGCTGGAGCTGCTTATAATTTGCTGCTCTACATGCTGGCTAGTCATGTAAGTCACTCTTCTGTGGAATCATTTCTAGGTCGAGAGCATGTAATTTTGGTTACAAAATTGTGACATTTATCGAAAACAACAAGAAACTAACTGTGTTTCCCATCAATTTGGACTCTGCTAAACGAATCGTTTTTCTAAACTCCCGTTCCATTGATGAATCTGTTCTTAAATTATCATTACATATTTTCAGGTCTTAGGAGCAGCATGGTACGTGCTATCAGTCGATCGATACTTGTCTTGCTGGAAATCAATATGCAAGAAAGAAATCAGCCCCAGCAGATGCTTTCTTGAATATTTGGATTGCGACACTTCCAATCATGCAGAACGAAATATTTGGGTTAACACAACGAATGTGTTCAGAAGTTGTGATCCCGACAACAATATTACTTTCAACTTCGGAATATTTGAGAATGCAGTTTCAAAGAATGTCGTCTCTTCTAATTTTCTTCAGAAGTACTTCTACTGCTTGTGGTGGGGTTTACAGAACCTAAGGTATGACTTCATTATATGTATCTGACAAGCAGAGCAAATTATTTACTTGTATTTTCTTTGTTTTCTCATCCCAAAAGTAATATGCTCTTCTGGTTATTTCGTTATAGTAAGCTTCTTATAACTCTTCAACCTTGATTATGGACACGGACTTAAATCAATTAAGCTAATTGATACACTAGAGAATACATTTTTCAGCACTTGAAAGATGTTTGACAATGATTTACCCTTTTTTTTATTTATTTATTATTATTTTTTCCCCTTTTTGAAAATCATTTATGGTATTCAGTTTATAATATCCTATTGAGCGTGCCGGAAGTATGCTCTGGCTTCAATTAGAACCTCAAGAATCAAATATATTGAGGTGTAGCGTAAATGCATTAGCTTCAAAAACTAAGTTGGCACATTAATATTTAACTTCATTTGTTTCTTATACTACAATTTATTATGAAGTTACAAAATATTGGATGAAAATAAAATAGGTATTTTTCGCATGTTTACACCATGAAATGAAAAGAAAATTACAATCTATAGGGGCTATCTTAAATCTTCAAAACAAAGATGATAAGCTCCCTAAAAGATTTTTCTAGCAAAATGACCTATCTGAGCATTAAATAATATATTGCCGCACTTTCATTTTTAGCAATATTTCTGGTTTCTGCATCAAATTTCTGATTCTTGCGTGAGAAAATTTTGAACTAAAAAAATGCTTTTTCTATTTTATTTAGGCTAATTGACGAGTCAACTGAATTCTTGAACCGTATAAACGAGAACCTTGGAATGTGCCGGAAGATGCAGATGTTAACTGTGAAAAAGAGAAACCTTATGAAAATGCTTAAGAAATATCCAACAATTCCAACCGTAACTGCTAATAGTGTGCTTAAGCTAGAACCAGCAATGGAATGGTAACTGAGCATAATAAGTATCTTCTCTGGTTTTAATTTCCTCCAATTTCTACTTTTCTACGACTCGACTGGACTCGCTTCCACTTTGCTCTCATCTGTCTCTTTCCTCTTCTTTTATTGTTCACTTTTTTCCCCCTTTCTGGTGGTGGACTATTGAATAATGACCCACCTGTATTTTCAGGTGAGCATGTTTACAAGTTTCATTTAATGGGCAAGTACTTACTGACATGTTGTCACTGGTTTAATTCTTCACTGTTGCTTTATGCCCCTATATATTAAAAGAGACTGAAATTAATGTCATTGGAACCAGAGGTAGTATTTCTAGCTCTAGAGGAAGTAGAGTTGATTCCAGTTTGTACCCCTACAAGTTAACTGAAACTGAAGCAACTTATATCTACACGTTTCTTTTTCTTATTCTCAGTTCATATGGACAAAATCTCTCAACAAGTACATTTATTGGGGAAACATCATTTGCCATACTCATTGCTATCTTGGGTCTTGTTTTGTTCGCACATCTTATTGGAAATATGCAGGTAAGTGAAAATGTTTTTCCATTTCTTCCTAAAATTCAAATTCCAAAATGTTATTTATTGGTTGTGGCATATCAAAATGCTCTTCGTGATTTCTTATAAAACAAAATTGAAACTGCAACGAATTTGTTCAGAGGGGTCACAGATTTGTATGCTCCTAGACCTTTGCTTGAATCTCTAATTTACTGATGTTTTTGGACTCATATGGCATAAAATCCTACTAATTCTTTAAAATGTTAGAATGCAGTTTGCTGCTTGCATTTTTCAAGCTTGATTAAGTTTACTTTGATTAACCTTGTTTGTGTTTCGTGTCTAAAAGTCTGTGCTATATGTACAGTCTGCTTGGATCGAATGTTCCATTGCTTCAATGTCTCGATGCCATGAAATATTTTACTAAATGGCAAGTCTACACTGGACAGAAAATTAACATTTTCTACTAAGAATCAGCCCATATGGGACTTCTAAATAAAGGACATAAAATTCTGGTTGTTACTTGTTGACCTGAAGAGATGTACCATTTCTTTTGGCACAATTTGGTTGTTAATGAAAGGTGGGCGGTAGAAATCCACCATCTATGGTTCCGGTTATCAAGAATATCAAACATTTTAGGGAGTTCTTTCCCCTTTTCTCTTGTTACCAGTGACCCAAGGACGCTTTTTCTTTACATCATATTGTGCTTATCGTTCTAAACTAACTTCCATCTTTTTAACATGTAGACATACCTGCAGTCTTTAACAATAAGGCTCGAAGAATGGAGACTAAGGCGAAGAGACACTGAGGAGTGGATGCAGCATCGCCAACTTCCTGAAGATTTGAGGAAACGTGTTCGGCGGTTTGTTCAATATAAGTGGCTTGCAACTCGAGGAGTAAATGAGGAAACTATTCTACGTGGCTTACCCGCTGATCTCCGTCATGATATACAACGTCATCTGTGTCTGGACCTTGTTCGACGTGTATGATTTCCCAACTCTCTTTTTTCATTGCAAAAAAATTTGAATGTTTTCTTGGATCATAGAATGTGTTGCAAAAATAATATTTGTCACAGTACTTGTCCTATTGAAACACAAAGCTCCAAGACTCCATGAGATTTTTGCATGTGTCTGCGTCCTCACGTGCTAAACTCCTTTAGGTTTTTGATTCTTTTATTTATTTTTTTTTTTTGGGTCCAATTCTCCAGGTTCCATTTTTCTCACAAATGGACGATCAGTTGCTTGATGCAATATGCGAGCGACTAGTCTCCTCTTTGAGCACCGAGGGCACGTACATTGTACGTGAGGGTGATCCTGTGACAGAGATGCTCTTCATCATCCGAGGTCGACTCGAGAGTTCTACCACAAATGGGGGGCGGACGGGTTTCTTCAATTCCATTACCCTGAGACCAGGAGATTTTTGTGGGGAGGAACTACTTGCATGGGCTTTGCTCCCAAAATCAACCGTCAACTTGCCTTCTTCAACTAGAACAGTGATAGCACTCGTAGAAGTTGAAGCTTTTGCACTGCGAGCTGAAGATCTCAAGTTTGTAGCTAACCAATTCAGACGACTCCACAGCAAGAAGTTGCAGCATACATTCCGATTTTACTCACATCACTGGAGAACATGGGCAGCCTGTTTCATACAGGCTGCTTGGAGGCGGTACAAGAGGAGGAAGATGGCAAAAGATCTTGTAACCATGGAATCTTTTACATTGGACGAGATGACAGCAGCGGACTCCAAAGAGGCAGAACAGAATTCGGGCACTGACAGTTCAAACTCCGGTCGGATATCAAAACTTGGGGTGACAATTTTGGCTTCAAAATTTGCTGCAAATGCAAGGAGAAGTGCTCCGAAGAATAGAGACTTAGGGTCACCAAAATTACAGAAGCCCGAAGAACCAGACTTTTCAGACGAGACATGATTAGCAACATCAGGTCATTTGTACAACTCATTTAACACATCTCCGCAGGATAGAAGCATTCTAATCGAAGTCTGACAATGAAAACACTCACGCGAAGTACATGCTAATGCTCGAATGTGATATATTCTCAGTATTGTGCCTTTGAAACTATAGCAGTAGGGTGACTGAGGAACATCATTTAGTGGAGGGGTAGTTGCCAGGTGGCCTTTCTGTTTTACGTAATTTTGTATCTTTGTCCGTAGAATCTGCACCAGGCTACGAAAGTAAAGGTTTGCAATCAACTATATGTAAACATTGTAACTACTAAATCAAACTGCTTCTCTTTTTACTTGTTTCATTTTCATTATATTTTGTTGGCATTCTGTGATATGCCACTGGATTAACTCATATAAGCATGTAAATGAACAAGTAGAGGTTTGTGATACTCTATAGCTTTACGTGGAATGGATATTATCTCTGCTTGAACTTTTCTTGCTGTATCTGTTGCATAACCAACAAGAATAAGAATCGACATGCCTGCAAATCCCTGAAATGCAGTCAGGGGTTAGCTGGTTCAATCACAGCAGGACCAGCAGCCAGAATTGCCAAAAACACAGAACCGAGGACTGACTCAGAACTTATAATTTTCAGCAGCAAATGCAAATGGCATGTTTGCTGAAGTAGATTAGATAGTACTGTACAATAATAAATTAAATATTGTATGCCAAACATGCACAAATTCAAATACATTTATCTTGAAGTACAAGCAAAGAACCAAATCAGGAACTTAAGGTTCCAAGTAAAATACATTATACTTAATGCATTTAACCAAGTATATGAGATCTTATCATAAATCAAACACAATTGAAACCACGCATTTGGGATGACGTGAAAAGGAGATAGATTCAAGAGGTTTACAATTTTCTCAATGTCTCACAGACACAATAATATGGTCATGAGTTGACACAATTCTTTGAGATAAAACTCTGTCTCCTGGTCCAATGTAGTATGGAATTCTTTACAGGAGCATCCAGTCTCTTCCTCACGAAATAGGTTGGAAGCAACCATTCTAAATTTCCTGTCGTAGTAGGCAACTTTATACGTAAGACAAAAATTAATCATCATTCAACTCAATCTCTAGTAAAGTTAAACCATTCATTGACTTTAAGAAATAATGTCAATACGTGATTCACCCCTTTGATTTTCTGATTCGGAATTTCTGTATCATATGTAGAAGATGAGATTATTACCAGACTATAGATCAATCACTAGCACCTCTCTTAAGGTTCATTACTGACGTGTCCTCTGATATTTGGTCATTGTGTATAATTTCCTTCATGGCCATTGAAGGAGATACACCAATCTATTCACTGATCCAACTTTTGAAGATGGGCAGAAATGCTGTTAATAAGGCTAGGCTGTCATGGGAAGAGTTTTTGTGGGAGTGTCAGCAGCCCATTGAAATTTAAACTCAGTAAAACTAAAATGAAGCAAAATTGACAAAGGGCATATTATTTTACTTAAAATACATGAAGAAGATCGACAAAAATGAAATGCAAAGACTACCAACTCGATTTCTTTACCTCTAATTTACCTCGAGAAAATATAAAATAATGCCCACTACACAGAAAAATATGAGGTAAAAATAAAGTATTAAATGAAATAGAATGTCACCATTTTGATGTATGCAGCTGTGCTTTTTCCTGGTCGGACAAGAGGGATTGAAGCACCATGCCTCTTTAACTGTTCACTGCATCATCAGGGTCCAATTGCAGAAATGTGTGGTAGTAGTTGAAGAAGGCTATTAATAGAATGTTTGTCTTCAGATGAAAAGAACATGAAACATACAACGCATTTAATCATTCCCAACTCTAAAGCAATTACATTAGCAGAAATCAATATCTGTAATCTACTTAGCATATTATAAGGCTACCTTAATTAGCTCTATCTATTACGAACTTTCCTGTGATTAATAACTTTTTGATGATTTCTGATTGATAGATTCCATAAAGGATTTTCTCAAAACAGGTGCATATCAGAGAATCTACGGGATAACATGGCATCAAATACTACTTAATTTTAACACGTTCACTTTTTTGGAAATTACTTGTAATTCAATTTTTTACTTTCTTTACTTGACGTCGAAAGGGTTACAAAAGTTTTCTATGAGTATCCCTTCTAAGCCTGACTAGTGATCCCTAAAGAGGGATGAGCATTTTGTGCATCAAAACAAGCCTTTTCACCTTTACACTGGTCAAACAACAAAATTCTAGCCATGAGTTTAAGGTAGTGTTTCAGAAGAACTAAAACGGCTTTGTCAAGCATAGTTTTGGTTTATGTATTATGAACATAGTCTGAAGCTGGAGATTTTATAAAAACAGGTTTTCAGCTCCTCCAGCTTTGACCTAAAACATGTCCTACTTCAAATGCAGACAGAAATAGAATGCAATTAGAACTGTTTTTTTTTTTTTTTTTTTTTTTTTTTCCGGTCCCACTGAATTTTTGGATAAGAAATGAAGTGCTGGGTTGAATGACATGGAATATCCTTGTGTACTCGCAAGTCTAATTAATCCACCACAAATGATTCAGAAAGTTAACAGCGGGATTACTGTTATTTAGTGCTTGTCCGGTAGAAATTATAACGAGATTATAGTGAAGACTAAAGAGTCACACGAAGCGTGTGGTTAATAAGTGGACAGTAGTTGAGAATGGGGGGACCAAAATAACGTTTGACTATGACTTCAAATTATAAGGAGATTATAATTTTTCCCAAACACAGCACCTATGCCAAAACATAAACACCACTATATCACAATAAAAACAATAGTTATTTTTATCATACCCCCAGGGTTCAAAGTTGCAGCAGCATTCTTTAGTGCACCCAAACCAGTAAAGCGTAAATGTGTTCCAGGAAGAGCCAAGAAGATAATTGGCATCACTCCCGAACTATTCACCTGCTCAACAATTACTGCTAATATAATCAAGATTATAATCACTGGCTCAAGAACTGCTGTAAGACAATATTAAGGGTAGAACACCAGGAGATATTAAAATAACTAAATAAAAAATATTTCAGAAATTTAAAATAAGAGAAAACAACTAAACAAAATAAATGAAACCAAATAAAAACTTGGGTTAAGAGAGGAGTTTCAAGGGGATTGTCAAAGAAAATCAATTTAGAGGAACCATACAAGTTTCATTATACAACGTTCATTTCTTTTATACACGACACTTTATATAGGATAGATTGCAAGCTATTCCTAAAGAAAAAAGTAGTGAACATATGTAGACAGTTGTCTCACTAGAAGCAATAATCTGAGATTGGATGTCGATAAAAATTTAACTAGGAAAATTAAGCAAGTGTAAGCAGAATATTTGAATTGACTATTGCACAAATCCCTCCATTCTGGGTAAAGTGCATCAAAATCATTTCCAGCGGGGGGGAATTTGTTAAAAATCCTAGTCAAATAATGTTATTGGTTATATAACCTTCTTTCAATGTTTTTTGAACAAATAGCCTTCAACTATTAAGCACAATAAACAAATAATGTCAAATGTCATAAATACCCTCATTATTGGAAAAAACCCTAACACCCTTATCAATCCAATTAAATTCCCCAATTCAATTTTTGGTCCCGAAAATCACAGTAACCCGATTTCTTCTCTTCAACCATTCCTGCTACACTAAAATCCTATTCTTCATCATATTCTTCAACCATTTGGATATCCTTTGAACATTTATCATCTATATTGAAAGATCCCATTTAGATTTGAAGAAAGAAGAAAGATAATTTTAGAAATCTTATATAAATTGTACATTTATTATTGAATAATATTTAAGTTGATATTGTTTTTATATTGCGTTTTCTGCAACTACTGGATGGTAATGATACTCCAACTGTTATCCAAAATGTAAAAGGTCAAAATAAATGAACAATATAATAAAGAACATAATTTTAGGGTAGCAAGAATGGTGATTGAAGAGAAAGAAAATATGTGATTGTAATTTTAAGGATCAAAAATTGAAGAAAATGAAAATGGGAAGAAGAAGACGTTATTTTAAAAAAAAAAAATTAGGGTTTAAAGGTGACTTAATTAGAGGAGAAATGGAAAGATGAAATGAGAAAAGTTAAAGGAAAATTTTGTCATTTTGTCAACTAAAATATTTTACACTTTTCTATTTGTTTTTATTATTGGTCAAAGGCTATTTAACCAAATACATAGTTAAGTTAGGCTATTGGGCCAAATTCCCGTTCCAGTAGTTCCCAAAAGGTAGTTAAACAGGCATATCTATAATATATTAAATATCACATAAAGTTAGAATCATTCTCTTCGACGATTTTAACCTTACTACAATTTAATTATTTCAACAATATCTTACTTTTCGTATTTCAATATGGAATAAGAACTTCAAAATTACATCAATCTAGACTCAATAAATCTTGACTTGATGATTTTTGATCTACATGAATTTAGAGTTATTATAGATGAATTTATTTGAATATTTTTTGGACAATTTTAATCTACTATAATTCAATAATTTCAATAATATCTTATATTTCGTAAGCGAGAATCATTTTTTTGGACGATTTTAACCTTAACACAATTCAATTATTACAATAGTATCTTACTTTTCGATTTTCAAGATGTAATAAATACTACAAAATCGCATTAATATAGATTCAATAAATCTTGATCTACATGAATTTAGATTTATTATAGGTTAATTTATTTAAATCATTTTTTAATGATTTTAACCTACTACAATTCAATTATTTAACTAATATATTACTTTTCATTTTTCAATAAATAATAAATACTACAAAATCACAATAATCTAGACTCAATAAATCTTGATTTGATGAATCTTGATCTACATGAATTTAGAGTTATTAGAAATGGATTTATTTTTATTCATGTATATAGAAATTTTAATGGGTGTTTAAATTTATGCATTAGCAATTAATTCTATATAACAAATGTAATATAAAAATGTTGTTCAATTTTAGGATTTCATTATCACAAAAAATTTGAATCATAAAAATTGAGTTTTGAAAGTACAATTTTATTCTCTTAAATTTCTTTCGTAAATTTTATTTGTTTCAAGTCGTTTGAGACTCGTCAAATTCTCCTAACAAATTGTTATTACATATTACTTTTACAGCACTTATAAGATATTTCATAATAACATGCAATGCATGTTCAACTCTGACTAGTTCTTCCAAATGAAACCAAAAAAAAATAAAAAATGGTATTAAAATTAATATATATCTCAATAAATATATTTGAGGCAAGGAACTCGAAACCAAATTCAGATGAGGTGTTAGATACCAACCTTAAATGGTAAGTATGCAGATTTGTTCAAGTCCCCCTGTTCTGCTGGTGAATTTCGAGGCTTAATTAAGTGGAATTTTCCTCTCTGCTTTATGAGCCCTTTGTTGAGAAAATAAGTAACTCCTTTGCATTCACCATAAGACCATCTTTGGATAACTTTTGAAAAGTATAAATAGCACTTACCTGAGCATACACAATGCTGAGGACCAAGAGGAAGAAGGAAACAATGGTGGCAATAAGTCCAACATAGTTACCATCTTGAGAAGCCTGTGCTACTGTCCTCCAAAAAGATGCTGGCATATAGGAGATAATATTTGTGAAGATCAAAATAGATGAGCATTCCCAAGCTTTAAGTCAGTTATTTTTCCCCAATATATGTTGTAAAAACTGAACCAAGAGTCAGCAAAATAACAGAAGAGAGAGCCCACTCAGTACTGAAGTCATTGACATAAGGGCGAAGAAAGAGAACTTTACCAATTGCCAGCAATTAGTAATATTATATTAATTAAATGTAACATCTAACTTTTAAGGTACAAATACAAAAATAATAGATTTGAGAGTCCATACGGTTTCCTAGTTAATCACTCAAAATTTAGCCATATTCTGTAGCCTCACAAGAAATTAACTCTCTATCATATGCGTTCTACTCAAACAGAATCCACAAAGTGCTTGTATGCATAACTTAAACCTAAACAGGATAAATTCAAAGAACCCAGCAATTCAACAACCATAATATATGGAAACTCATTGGGAAAGTTTGAGACTATTCCAGTAGGGGAGGTCAATAACGTGGAGGAGCTAGCTAATATATTGGCTTGTAAGGTTGCGTATGTCATATCTAGGGCCCCCGTTAGGGACACGATTTAAAAATACCCATATCTGGAATGGTATTTTGAAAAGAATGGAAAGGAGGTTAGTAGGGTGGAAGCGTATGTACCTTTCTAAGGGAGGCAGACTTACCCTCATTAAATTCACTCTCTTCAATCTCTCTACTTACTTTTTATCATTGTTCCCCATTCTGGTTGCACTGGCAAAGAGATTAGAGAGACTTCAAAGAATTTTTGTGGGCAGGGTTGGGGGAGGAGAGGAGACTCTATTTGGTCAATTAGGGTTTGTCTGTTTGCCTGTGAGGATGGGGGGTTTTGGAGTGAGGAGCTTTGTGTTGTTCAATAGGGCCTTATTAGGCAAGTGGTTGTGGCGATTTAGAGTGGAAAGGGAGAGCTTTTGGAGAGAAATCATTGGGGTGAAGTATGGTGTGACGGAGGGGGGATGGTGTACGATTGAGGATCGTGGTTCTTATGGGGTGAGTTTGTGGAGGTATATCCGATGGAGATGGAGTGATTTTCTGGACAAACTGAAGTTTGTAGCGGAAATAGTAATGAGATTAGATTTTGGGATGATTGTTAGTGTGAAGATCAACCGCTGAAGGAGGGATTTCCTTCCTTGCACCGCAATGCCTCAGTGCTGTCTGCTATGGTGAGTGATCTTTTAGTCATTAATGGAAGCTATAGCTGGAATATTACTTTTGAGAGGAGTCTACAGGATTGGGAATTTGTTGATTATTTGTTGTCTATGACCTTTCTACATGAGGCACAAATTAGGGTAGGAGAGGGTGATTGTATCAGATGGTGGATAGCACGAGATGTCATTTTCTCAGTTCGCTCTTACTTTAGTTCCCTCCTGGGATATGTGGATAATTCATTCCCCTGGAAGTTGGTGTGACAATGTAAATTGCCTTATCGGGTAGCATTCTTATTGTGGACAGTTGTGAGGGGACAGGTCTCAACGGTGGATAATCTTCGTCATAAAGGCTTTTACGTAACCTAGTGGTGTTATATGTGCAAGAAGGATGGGGAAACGATCGATCATTTGTTCATTCATTGTGATGGTGTTCGTTGGATTTGGAACAGTATACTTGGTTCTCAATCTATGGATTGGGTGATGCCTCGTCGTATAGAGGACGTGTTACGGGCATGGAGGAGAAAATTTCGTAATAAGGATAGCAAACTAGTATGACACCTTATCTCGAGTTGCATTGTATGGTGCGTGTGGAGAGAAAGGAACAACCGCTGCTCCGAAAACCAAACAAAGACAAGAGAGCAGACGAGAAAACCATTTTACTTTGTATTCTTGGTTTAATACTGTGGCTAAAGATCCTGTAGACGGGTTGCCTAATTTCATATTCCTTACTGGCTTAAAGTGATTGTACACCCCCTATGTATTCTTTTTTAAGTAATAAAATTCTTTGATTACCTATATATATATATATATATATATATATGGAAACTGAGAACTTAAGTTAAAGTCGTTTATTTATGCAAAGTACGTTAAATAGTGTCTGGATATGACAGCATTTACCAGTACTATGGCAAATCCAACTGAAGCATAGCGAGTGTACTCAAGAATTTTCTTTCTTCCAGACTCGCCTTCTCCTTTTTAGAGTTCTTGCAGCTTGGGATATATTTGTGTGTGAAGTTGAAAAACAATATGTGCTTTGATAAAGGGCACAATACCAAGAGAGCATATTCTAAGCCGAACAATATTGCCTCCTCCAGAAAATGAATCCAAGTGCTCAATAAGCTGTTTTGATCTAGATTACCAACAAAAGCTTCTTGATTTACACAACCGAGAGGTATGCATATTCCAACCCTTGACAGTGCTAGATAGCCCAAAAGCTTAAGAAACTTTCCTGGTAGTGGGCCTTTGAAGAAATAGCCAAAATCAATGCTAGGATCCTCAATCACAGCTGGGAAATTTTAAAGAGTCCTAATCAAGCCTAAGAGATAAAGGCAATATTCTATAGAAGATTTAACCTAATAAATATATGTGCTACATAAATAAACCTTCCACTCCTCTAGCTGATGAAGCTTTTTCCTTCTAGTACTTGAGGCACCCTCAAGTGCTTGAGAAATCGAGGTCCAGGCATCTTTCCAGGCAGTTTTTATATCTAATAATCCATCTGAATCAATTCTCAGTGGATCAAAATTCAGAATTCTCACAGCTGAGGAAATTTACAATCAGCGAAAGGAAAAATTTTGACACGTCCAAAATAAATTGGAACCGATAAAAGCAAATAAAATAACCATCAATATCTGTAATTTCCCATGAAACTGGAGCCTCTACTTTGGAATTCATAAAAGATAATAAAAATTAGAATTTTCAAAATTGAATCTCAAGACCTAATGTGATTCAAGACACTATGCCACTGGTAATCTCTAAATTGTTTAGCTAACAAGAAAATAAGCATGTAGCTAATGAAGTCCATTCACACAAGGAATTTTTACAAAATGAAATTAAAGTAATTATTTTTTTGAATACACAATAAAATCAAAATGACGCACAACAGGAAAGAAGAGAAGAGAAAAGATACCGAACAAAAAAAAAAAAGGAGAAGAGAGAATAGAAGAAGAATAAGAAAAAAAAATTTATGAGAGAGGAAATTGTAGGGGCTAGGGAAATAATCTTAATATCATTAATTATTAAACTAATTGTCTACATAATTGAAAAATCTAAATCTTGTGTATGCTTAAGATTCCTAATAAAAGAGAAAGTTGACAAAATAGGAAAATGGAAAATCTAATAACTTAAAAGTTAAAAACGTATGCATCAATAATAACCTCGTTATTTTCATTACTAAAGTACTATTTCATCTTATCTCATCATGTAAGTTACGAATATGGACAGCAAAGGTTCTGGATGAAGAAGCAGGATGCAATTAATAGGCATGGACATAAGGTTGCTAAAGGATTTGTTGGACCAGAACCGGAGTGTATATAACGGTGCATTGTTTCTTAGCTTAATCATAATGGTATTAACGAGATAAGGGGGGCGAGACTATCCATTTCGGTTGCTACCTTGAAGTAAAATGTTCCTAGAACCTTCATTGACAAATTCTTCTCTAAGTTCACAGGGAATAGACTGTAGTTCTCCATAGGCATCATTGCTAGATCCGCTGTAAGACCTCAACAAATGCTTCTATCGGTAATTCTATACACAGGCAACAAGATTACCGGTAATAGACCTACTACTAACCCCTAAGACCTCTATAGTTTGGGAAGTGCCTACCGTGTAATGTGTACTTTAATGGACTCATCTATCTTTTCACCTTCGAAATAATAGACGGAAATTGAGAGAATTAACAAAATGAACCCGTAAAACATTTTTAACTGCAAGAAAAATGGAGGGAAAAGGAAAGAATCCCTCCATTAAAAAAATAAATAAATAAATAAAAACTTGAACCAGGGAAATTCCGATAATTAAATTGCAAAAACAAAAATTTCGAATTCCAAGAGAAAAAAAAAGGCCCAGTAAAGAATACTAAATTACAAGAAAAGTTAAAAAATTGACAATAAATAATACGGGAAAATTGTGAAAGTTTTATGAACATACCATCGCTTAAGATTCCATGAAGAGTCAGGCTCTCTATGGACAGTAAGAGTGGCTCTGCAGATGGAGTTTTTACTGTTCTTCTGGAAGTAATTGGTGGGCTTATTATTACAACAGTGTTGTTTTGAATTGGAATGCAGAGTTAGGGAACCGATGGAACAAAGAGAATAAGAAACTTCTCTGACAGTTAACATTATCTTCTCCCAAAAAAAAAAAAACACGCACACACAGTGAACTGTGGAGTTGGAAACTTGTACACTAGAAAATTTTGGGGTGCGTATGGATTTTCGATTATTTTTATGTCGGGTCGGGTTGACCGAAGCCTGAATTTAGCCCAAATGATCGACTCCGAGCAGAAGACAAACATAAGTTGGGCCGAGTTTGGTTCCAAATCATTACGCTTAATTCAAAAATGAAATGGATACAAATAGCACTAGGTATGGGGACTTAATGATTTATAATTGCTCTATTTTGCACACTTCTTAAATGCAATATGATTATAATTTAAAATAAAAAAAATTTATTGATGATAAATTTATTTTTTTAAATATCTTAATAGATCCAATTTCTGAAAATATTATCTTCATCAAATAAAATAATAAAAATTGAAATACTAACTTCAAAAAAATTCTTTCAATTAACAAAATATCTACATCCCTTTTACTTTAGGGTCATGGTTATTGCGTTTGTAGCATGACTAAACTTGGATTTTGTGATATGTTTGCTATGTTAAATTAAATATAACTAAACAATGTAACCAAAAAATTTCGTTTGCTACAAGAATCTCTATATATTCGTTGGTGTTGAGATCTTCAAGAGACGTCTTGGTCATGTTTCAACGCCTCTTTTATAGTTCTTAGCTTCTATATGAGCATTAGGAAATTCGAAACCACATGATATTTTTTATTGTAGTGGTCGAAAATTAATAATTTAAGATTAGAAATGAATTTTCACTGTGTAATGATAAAAAACAAATATTTTGGTATGTAAGGATGAAAATTTCATCAAAATAAACAAAATTATAAAAATAAAACAAATTTAAGTTAACGGTCGAATATTCTTATGAGAAAAATAAAAATAAAAGTACGTTGGTGGCCCCAATAATTTCTTCATTAGTGATCAGAAACCAAATGTGTTTATTTCCATTTTATTCTAATTTAATAAAAATTTGAATTTTATGTGAATGAGAATTTGATATAACGGTGGATAAGCATAAAACAACGGGGGCAATTTTATGCATGACCAAAAAAAGAAAAAAAAAAAAGAAAGAATGAATCATTGTGTTAACGATTAACAAATTAAAAATATGACTAGTTGGTTTATTTATGAGGCTGTTTGGAGGATATTTTTTGGGCAGGAAAATGAATTTTTCTATCATTGGTGCCAAAAGCAGCCGTTATTTTTTACCATTACACTCTCATGTGGAGCCCAGGTGACCAAAAAAGGGTCCAAAAATATTACTTTTCTCCCTCCAGAAAATGTCCTCCAAACGGGGGCTATATATCATGAAAAATTACAACATATTAAAATAAATTTTCAATATTAAAACGAAGAAAACTTTACAAAGTTGATTTCATTCATTTGTTTGTCTTTGTTTTATTCCTCATAGGGAAGGCATTTCTCTTAGTCACATTTTTATGTACTATTATCTTCTTCCTTTTTAAATGATGGGAACTCGTAGCCACTATCCTTTGAATGCTCACTGGGTAAACCCTCAGGCTAATGCAGTAACTTGCAAATCAGGCCAGTCAGGTAAATCGCACGATGAAAAGATTATGATAAATTGAGAATTCACTGACAAGAACAAATTATTGCTGGAAAACTGAAATTGAAAATATTGGGACTCTCTCCCTGAAGCAACACGCTCCAAATTGAAAAGAAAACCAACCAACTACTATAGACTCCTACCTGTCTATTTATTCATCTAATAAGTTATTCACTAATATTGGACTCTAACAGGATAACAATAACTGAAAAATAGCAGCAGACTCTAGCAACATAACAATAATTAAAAAAAACAGCAGCAGCAGCACGTCTTCAAGTTAATCCGTAGGATTGTTCACATCAACTTCCTCCCCTCCTAACAGACTTGACACTGGCAAGTGGGCTTGTAGATAGGACTCAAATAGCTTGGCGTCAAGACGTCGTAATTCATCTCCTTGCAGCCAAACAGATTCTGAACGTGGCTTGTGCTTCCAATGGACTAAAAATTTGTAATAGCCCCAGAAATTGCTTCTATTTCTTCTCGCGGTTTAGAAACACTTGGAATGCGTGCTTCACCCGTTGAATTACTCGTAAAGACTCCTGAAGAAACACTATCATTCAACTCGCCCTTGAATTCTGTAAGATCTTCAACATTAAAAATGGGACTGATGTTATAGTGGGAGGGTAATTCAACAACACAAGCATTTGCTCCCAATTTCTTTAGTATGCGAAAGGGACCAGCCCTGCGTGCGTGGAGCTTGCTATAACTCCCAGGAGGAAAACGTTCAGGCCTAAGTCGAACAAGAACTTGATCATCAATAGCAAACTGTTTCTCACGACAATGGGCGTTTGGCTGCATTAGCATACTCCTCTGAACTGAGAATAAGACGTTGTCTGACTTCTTTGTGTGTATCCTGCATATAACGAACAAAGTCCAAAGCTGCTTCACTAAGTCAAGCAGGTAATGGTAGAGGACTTAAATCAATTGGAGCTTGAGGACGAAACCCATGCACCACTTCAAAGGGGGTACACCCAGTAGACCTGTTAACTGAATTATTAAATGCAAATTCAGCTTGGGGTAAAATTAAATCCCAGCTAGTGACATGATTAGCTACAAGACATCGAAGAAGATTTCCTACACTCCAGTTCGTCACTTCTGTTTGCTTGTCCGTCTGCGGATGGAAAGCACTCGAATATAATAACTTAGTACCCATTTTAGCCCAGAGTGTCTTCCAAAAATAACTCATGAATTTCACATCCCTGTCAGAAACTATAGTAGAAGGAACCCCATGTAACCTTACGACCTCCTGTAAGAATAATGTCGCGACCCTTGAAGCATCAAACGTCCTTTTGCAAGGAATGAAATGGGACATTTTAGAAAAACGGTCCACCACAACCATGATAGAATCATTATGTCGCAACGTTTCGGAAGCCCCAAAATAAAATCCATACTGAGATCCTGCCATGGTTTGCTGGGAATGGATAGAGGTGTATAAAGTCCCGTGTTTTGCTTAACACCTTTGTTGAGTTGGCAAACTCGACAGTGATCAACAACTCGATGCACATCCCGCCTTAAATGAGGCCAAAAAAATCTGTCAGCAACCAGCTCATATGTTTTGGCGTGTCCAAAGTGGCCAGCCAACCCCCCTCCATGCAACTCTTCAATAAGAAAATCACGGAAAGAACCTCCTGGTATACATAATCAC